ATGTCGAAGACCACCGACCGACCGACCGACCGATTATTCATTTAGCAAAAAAACAGATTAAGAACTACACTTATTATTTGTTGACATTTCGGAGATCATTATTCAATGTTTTGCATTTAGCTTTGCCTAGACTGTGTCATTCTGCCTGGCTTTCAGTATGACTTCGCAAAGAAGTCCAACTGTTTAGTTTACCACATTCCATGCACCACACAAAGTTTGAGACATAAAACTAAATGGAAGTTTAAGGGGCGAAAATTTGAGGGAGAATAAATAGTGACAAGGAAAAACATGAGTTGAATAGGTACGAGAGATTACACAGAGTGAATGCATCTGTGTCATTAACAAAGATTTGCAGTCATATCTCCAGTAGTTCTTCTAGTTGACTGTCAACGATTTTATGAACCAATACCAGCTTTTCATTTGACCGACCCAAACACATTTGGAACCTTAACATGTGCTGGCTAACACTGTCCCTCGAGGAAGGCGATGGCTTGGTGTGCCATCACGTGTTCTAACCATCTCAACCTATTCAGCTTCCCTACCTTGAAGACTAACTTACTCTCCTCACCTAACACTTTATGCGTAAACTCAACATCACTCGCCATATTATACTGCTTTACTCATGAGATAGAACACAGACACCTATGATCAAACACGGGTATTCTTTTCATATTTTCCAGCATCAGGGTTTACTTCTCATAGTCTAGGTGGACAATATCATCAGCAAACTGTAAGTTTATGAGACTATTCCCTGATAAGTCTCTAAAGACAATTACAGATAATCCTACTAATATATGTGTGATTGGATTAAACTTTATGGATCCATAAAGTCTACAGAATGTGCATCAGTTCGGCTGCATAAAACGAGTAAGTGGTATCCTGGCAATAACAATGACTAAAACAAGTCTAGGAATTATGCACTACAACTTTTGCTTTACTGAATACTCCAGCAGATTTTAAATAAACACTTGAAAAATATCAAATTTATACAGGAAGTCAGTAAGATTTAGTAAACTAAAAGTACTTTCGGTTTCCATAGGAGTTCTCTATGCCGAATTTATTCCTTTAAAGGCCTACACAGACTACACCTACAATTAAATAACACTGACGTCCAATATCCAATATCGTTTTTACGAGCTAGTATAAACCAATTTGATTTCTTTGTGCTCGCCTCTTGATTGTGAGGTAGAGGTTCCTGATCTTCGGTAAACGTCTGCGTAGCTCGTCCCGCCACTCGACTGCCGTAGCTTTGGTTGACTCCAAAAGGAGTAGTGCAGGGATTAATTATATGTGGTTTGTGGTATGAGGTGTGTTAAGACTGTTACTACTGTGAATGGAGTTGATCCTTTCACCAGTTGGTCCTTTGGTATCGTCGTCAATAGAAAAGAGATAATAATAATAGATATAATTAGTGAAGGTATTCAGACTGACAGAAAAAGAATAAGAAAACGTAACAACAGTCAGTCAGCCAGTATATATATATACCAGTAATAATAATAATAGGTGTAGTTAAAGCTGTCAGGAGAGTAAGACTGAAGAGAATGTAAAGAAGTAAAACGACCAGTTTAATTGTCTACCTTTGGATGGTGTATGCGATTTTAAGGGGATAGGCCATTTGGATGAAGTCCTTGTGTCGCTGCATGGTTGTCCAGCCTTCGCTTAAAGGCGCGGAGGAAATTTCATTCTTCATTACTAAACTTAATGCAAATAATCATGCTTTTTATTCTAAAAACAGGAGCATTCGTAATATTTCACTTTATGTAAATGCAGTTGCATACAGTTGCACTAAGAATTAAGTGCAACTCGGTGCACAATAGTATATACACAAATAAACTGAAAATAATGTCCTCCTTACCTTCTTAACAACTTGTCCTTATTCCGGGATAATAACTTTCTTTCACGTATCAGCCTGAGTTATGTCTATGAAATCAGTTAAATTTTGCCCCAAAACCAAGGCCACTTGAAACCAATAGCAACATAGCAACAAGCGTCATTGACGGGATATGCAATAAAGTCGCTCAAAGAAACATTGTCCAAAGGCCAAGGCCGCGGACCATAAAGCGCGCCTTTTCAATAAACAATGTATTTATTAAGGGCTTGTATAAGCCTTGGGATTGATGTCGCCAGCGTCTAGACACTTTATAGCGATTCTAGATCTCTTTCGGATGCCTTTAACTTCAGCAATTCTGATGACGCATCGACTGGGAAAGGTGAGACCTAATTCCAGGATATACTCATTACTACGATTAAAAGCTGTCTGTTTAACAGTCATTATCTCAACTCACTCTAAGCTATCGTAGCAGTATATTATTTTTAAGGCCATAAGAATAACGCACCTTTCACTTAGCGAGAGGTGCTAACCTTCACCGTTTAAGTCTACTTGATATGCTGAAAGAACGCAGTCATACATCCTCACCATTTCACATTACGTCATGTAACGTTTGGCAGTTATTGCATGATTCTTAGCAAATTAAGCAGTCATCATCACTCTGCGTTTTGTGTCCCATAATATATGGTATTTTCTCACGATCAACTTGTCGCTTATGATTTTTCTTTGGCCTATGTGGAGAAAAACACCCTGAAAGTTAGGAGATGAACACTCGCGTTTGTAAGCGGCGAATATACTGCGACTCACTAATGCTAAACTAAAGACTTATGAAGTTCTGATGACGGTATTAGGACCATATGACACCGGCATTAAGGAGAGGAATGGGCCTGTAACTGTGTCACTACCAACAGATTAAAAATACTGTCAGAATCCTTAGGCAGCCTGCAAAGCACTGCGCAATAATTGCAAAATTTCGTGTTGCTCAGTGCATTGTGTCGTGTAATCAAACAGTCCCCTACTATGATATAGCTGCGAGCAAGTAGTTCTAGTCTCTGCAGTGAGTCGCTACACGGTATGCACTTTAAACTTAAAAACCTCTATCATCATACTACGGTTTACTGAGAAATTCGGGGGGCGAGCTGCAGAAGAACCACCACTCAAAGTCATCCGCAAATTTACTGTGTAAGAATGAGGGAGCAGACAGGCGAATTTGTTTTCGAAGGCAACTGACGATGATAGTTGGAAATGATAATAGGCTGAGTTTTATTTGTGGTCAAGCAATGTCAGAATAACTCTGGAATTTAAGTCAGATAGAAGCTAAAGGCTAGCCGCCTTCCAAACTGGCTTCTAGCTTAACCATTTCCTAGTTTACCGTTACCATTCTTTGTCTTCACTGTTGGAGAGTACATTTGGTAGTTTCATTATCTTAGGACGTATCACAGGAAGTCTTACTACCTGATTAGTACTTTTCTTGTTCACAGATACATAAACGATTGTTGACAAGTTATCCGTTTCCATTCAAAATACTATGGCAGAAAATATCTCACCGAATTTACTATAGGCCTAGTTTTCTAATACAAGGTTAAATATGTTTGAAGTACCATCATTTACTCCATTATGGATAAAATTTATTTTGATAAGGCCACTCAGCGTTATACAGTAATATTTACTGATGAGGTTTTGCGCATAAGGTTTCAGTGGATATTGCTGTACGCTACTTTATTTATTCATTTATTGTTTATTTTACTATGGCTTGATTCAACAGAGCATTTTGGTACAAGTATGGAATTTTCAGCATGTGATAGCCATAGCCCAAATGTAGCAGGCCGACCACCGACATGGTGTGCATCAACCAGGGATCGATCTCCGGGCCATGTGCATGGATGGTGAGCGTCCTGTCCTCTGTGACACCGACTTCATCAAGACAAATTTTATTCTTAATGCAATTATACTCCACCACAGTGCCTTATACCGTCATTTACCATCCAATAATTTCCATGGCGCATGTGGTAAAACAATCTCATCCAAATACAACTTCCTTTTCATATTTAACATGCAAATACCTTGACTGCATCTAGAGTGTGGCCAGTTATCAGTGACCGTAACACTTTCAAAGGTATATTCGAAATTGTCATGCACATCACGAGCAGTTCATCGCAGACAAAAAGCGTGCGTCCGCATAGATGAGCAGGTGCATGAAAATGATTACATTCTGTGAATGCGTTCTCGCGACTTTTCGTTGGCAGGTACACGGAGTGTGATAGTGCACTATGTAATGGTTGCATGCGGGGTCTGAAAAGAGCCGCATGTCAAATGCTTGCGTCCCACCCTGATGCTGCACAAACTTCTCGATGCCTGAACGTACTGAGCTGCCTGTTATGTTAATGAACTTGCCCTACATAACCGCCAGCTTTGTAGGGAAAGGTTCATATGTGTGCGAGTTTGTTCTGTGTCTGCTGTTTTGTTATAATTTTGACAAAAATAGACAATTTTAAATGTGAAGACGATCTCATTCAGAATTATGAACGTCTTTCAAGGAGGAAGATAGGCAAAACGAAGGCTTTTCCCTGTGGCAACTATTGAAGATTAGCTCACTTTAGAGAATAATTTTAGGTTTTCTCCCTTTTCTTATAGAAACCGCTGGAAAATCATTTCGCAGTGTTCGATGTATTGCAAGACTGCTGACATTATGCAACATTGGTAACTGACTAATCGTACTGGAAAACCTAGGTACATATCTGTAATTGTGTACGGAATGGTTGCCACCGATAAATGTTTAACAATGCCAGCATCTACATCTGTTGGATAATTCCCAGTGGTGAATTCATAAGTAATTTTTGTGAACCGAAGGCCACTGATTAAAAGAAGTGACCTTAAAATGGATTGAACTGCATATCATCGGTTGTTTACTTCAGCACTATACTAAACTTTCCTCACGATGTCTCTAGTCTCGACCAATGTATCTTTCAAATGAATATCACGGGTTATTTAGCAGGTCAGGTAGAGACAGAGATCCTGTTTTTGGGTCCATAACATAAACATCAGTTCCATCTGAGCCAGTATGGACTCAAATAATCAAAATACTTTGAAAAAAAGAGTGGTTAGAACTACTATTATTATTTAAACTGTCGTTTTAGTGTCTAAACGGAATGAAAGAATAACACTCAAGCATGTTATCTCAGTTTTCGAAAATTAGAAACTTGATACTTTATATAAACTAAAGGAAAGACCTTGGAGTGTTCATTATCTTATGCTTATGATTTAAAAGTCTGCCAAATGCCTCTTTCACCGCGAATTATTGAATATGGTTTGAAAGCTGCTGGAGTCGCAACTGCCGTCTGTATGTTTTTAAAAATATTTTACAAGTTATTGTTTAGTGTGCATCAGCTTGGGTGTATTTTGTATGGTCTCAATATCTGCACAATGCATCATTGGTGGTCTCCTATTGATGTAGGTTTATGTTCCTTTAGTAATGACTTTGAAATGTTCCAGGAGTATGTTTTTATATGTGAATTTGGGGGTATTTAAGTGGCGTTGCACTGACAACTATATTGAGAATGCACTTTGATTTATTTACTATAAATATTTTTCACCGATATCACTATGTAACATAATTTTTACAATCCTGAAATTTAATTCTGCTTTACAGGTCCTCACTGGAATAAATTCTAAGAGACACTATGGGCAAGGTTTTCTAATCATTCACTACTCCACGAATAGGATTGCAGGTTTTTTTTTATTTACGGTGGTTTATTTATAGGTAAAAAACTTTCTATTGATGTTTCGAAACTTCTCAGAACAAATAAAACCTTGTCTCAACTGCTTTATTAAGTATTGGGGTTAAGGACAGTGCCTTAGATTTGTCAGTTACATCTCAAAGGATAAGTTTTGCCCAGTAGTTGTCAAATGAGCATTGGCACAGTTGTATAGTGCAGTGGATTTTTGGGGGAATATGCTCCATTAATATCATGAGTCTTTGTCATATATATGTATATATATGTAGTGTTCGTAATTACTCTGTAATTTCTGCACGTGAAGCTCTGAATCATAGAATTGGTCGACGTCTCACATGGTGTGTTTGAGCCATCAGGTATTACTGCAGTTTCTCCCCATACTTGATGTATTCATACTTGTTATCATTTAACTGTTGGTAGTTCTTTCCCACTGGTATTTCCAAACGTAGGTATTATCCTGGCGAAGCATGTGTATATGATTTGTCTTAGTTTCTTTGGAACTTATTATTATTATTACTATTTTTACTATTATAGAATAATTGGCATAGTTGTTATAATACTAGAAGCACCTATTTGTTGTTCCATGATTCCACAATTGCACAAATTCAATGAGTTCATTGAGAAACGTTCTCCTATTGAAAAATCAATCTTTTACGGAATGTAAGCGAATATTTAAAATATCTAATAGTCTTTTTCTCTAGTGCTGCTATTTTACCCTTGAGCCTGTGCTTTGGTATTTCCACACTGTTTTGTGGGCTAGCATTGGGTGGATGCTGTGCATTTAATATTTGGAGAATTATCAAAGAAAGGTAGGTGTAGCCGTTCATTTTCGGTGTTGTACTTGATATTTATGCCTTGCGAGACATTATGTTGACTTAGTCATTAAGTCAAAAGCTCAAACAAACTTGTGTATAAAAACTTGGGCACTGTGGTAGAGTGTAACTCCATTATGGATAAGATTTTATTTTTATAAATCACACGGTGTTACACAGTAATATTAACTGATGACGTTTCGAGCACAAATTATTGCTCATAATCATATCAATTTACTCACACAACTTTTTCCTTCATTTATATATATGTATGGAATTGACTAGATATTTGAATAAAAATCAATATGAGTGTTATTGATCAAATACAATTAGATGGGAAATAAGACGAATGTTCTTATAGTTATAATAAGTAATTTGTTAGAATGTTGTGATTTTCTTGAATTGAAATAGAATTTTGAGATTATTTATTATCCTCTTCTGATTTGAATTAGGGTGGCATTCAAACCTACAAACTCACTCAGAGACAAGCTCTGTAGGCTAAAAGACCCGGTGAACCCAATTAAACAAAATAATATAATTTACAAAATACCTTGTAATGACTGTGAGGTCAACTATATAGGTCGAACTAGTAGATTGGGGGTAATCAGATTGTCGGAACATAAGCCTCAGGATGGTCGGGAGTGGGTGCCTTGCGCTGCGGGTTGGCCGCCCCTCCGCACACCTCTTGAAACGCTCCCATATGACCAGGCGTCTTACATAGCCTCTCCTGAGGAAGTCCTACTCACTGCCTTCACGTGGCGGTGTTTTTCACCAAAGTGAGAGGGCGAAGGCGGATGCCCGGCGCTCTTCACCGGGTTGACTGTCCATTGGATGACAGTCTAGGGGAGATGGCTAAACCCTGATTCCAAACCTCCAACGACTGGCGTATGAAGCTCACTGGAGCTCACCGGCAGACGTATGGACAAAGGGATTGTTGGATGTCCTGGATGTCTAGCCCCATTCAAAAAGGCGTATGAACCGAACTCCGGTCACCGGCTGCCAATGGATAGTGGACTCCCTACTCCACTCCTACTGCCTTGTAGGTCACACTTGGTTGTGTAAAGGCTAGAGCTGCACTGTCAAACAAAAGGCCGAGCGATTCTGGGGACATCACTCGTACCAAATTCCCATGAAACTTCATGAACTCATGTTCATGAAGCCGGCTCATCCTCCCGTAGGAGATAGCCGAAGTAAAGTAAGTAAAGTAACATAAGAATTTAGCCAAGGTAAGAATGGTTGACCCCGAGAAGATAAGTAATTTAGAAAAAAGCTCAGCAATTGCACTACATGCAATAACACACAACCACACAATACGGTGGGAGAGGGTAAAGATTCTAAGAAGTAATCTAGGTAGGAGGAGAGAGAGATTGATTACTGAATCCTGGTTCATTGAATCTACACCCAACACATGCAACAGAAATGACTCGATGCAAATATCAGAAATATGGAAGATATTATTACCACCAGTCAAATCAGAAGAGGATGATAAATAATCTCAAAATTCTATTTCAATTCAAGAAAATCACAACATTCTAACAAATTACTTATTATAACTATAAGAACATTCGTCTTATTTCCCATCTAATTGTATTTGATCAATAACACTCATATTGATTTTTATTCAAATATCTAGTCAATTCCATACATATATATAAATGAAGGAAAAAGTTGTGTGAGTAAATTGATATGATTATGAGCAATAATTTGTGCTCGAAACGTCATCAGTTAATATTACTGTGTAACACCGTGTGATTTATAAAAATAAAATCTTATCCATAATGAAACTTGTGTGTTATATGTTAATCACCTTATATTTACTGTGGTTATTCTCGTTACCTGTGTAACACTTTGCCATAGTATAATTTAATCTATGTTTATCCATTAAAATTTCTATTATAGACGCAACAGGCAAGCCAATCCAGAAGGTGTGGTTTCGGAACATCAGACTCCATATGCTGCAGGTAATCCGCAACCTGCAACGTTTCAGGGTGGATACGCTGACCCACCAGGATTCCGAGATCAATTAATTGAAAAAGCTGCTACTGGAGCAGTAAGAGGTGTGATTTCTGGCTCTGGTGGTGGTTATCCAGGAACAGGTTATTCTGGCACTTAGGTATATTATCCTCAGTGAGAGTTTGATATGTTTTCTCTGTTCTATTCCCTTCACAACCTAATAGTTCTCTGTTCCTTTAAGTTGCTTTCGTTTTGTTTTACCAGGCGGTTTAATTTCACTTTTCTCTTCTTTCCATGTTATTGGATCCTTGGCTAATTTTTTACTTGGTTTCTCATCTCTCTCGTCGCATTTACTGTGGTCTTTGATTTACGTTAAGGCTGTCTGTATTTATTCGTCTCAGTTCTATCTTAGTGTATAACTCGCACAAATGTTACTTTCATGTCTTATTTGAAATTATTGATCTTCTTTCGTGTTACTATTTATATTCCTTTTGGGGTTGATGTGAAATTAAATAATCCTGTGATATCTTTTGTCGAAAACTAATGACTGCTGCGAAGTTGCTAAAAGGCGAACAGGTCGCTGTACGCCTGTTTCGTCCGAAGTAGTGTCTTCTCAACAGTCGTAGATTAAATCATAAAGGAGGGAGTTATGCAACTGACAAAGAGTTGTACATTGCCATGAATTAACTATGTTCAACGCACCTAGACTTGGAGTAGTTGTTTACCTTGATGTTGTTTCGTGACTGCAACCATTCACTAAACTCACTGTGAATTTTGTATCAACCATATTATTTCAGATCATGTTGTCCAACTGACAAATCTTTTTTTAACTGTATCTGGCATTATAATCATTCCATTATTCTCTGCATAATTATTTATTTATCATTTTCGTCCTTCATAATGTGTTTATCCTTTCTATATTTATACGTTACTTATTTTTGAATTTCTAGAAAATTTTATTGTGATCAAAAGTTTTGCTTTTGGTATTATTATTACTATAACTACGACTAATACTATTACTTATCATGATATTGTTGTTTATTTGTGAAGGTTTAAGTAAAAGTCAACTTTCCAAACTATTTATAAAGTGTTATCATGTTGTCCGCGAAAATAAACTTATCCTGCCTGTTAACTCATATACTTTGTCTTTTCGATCTTCAGCTAACGTTTTTAATAGTACGCTGTCAGGCATATAGTGAAGCTGAATAATAATGATTATTTAATGGAATTTTTCCAACTTCAGTGAAACAAATCTCGGTTCTTTTAAAGTTGTAGATAGGTATTGTTAGTGACTATCAACGAATGAGCAATTTAAACTCACATAGTTTATCTTATCATCCCTTGACGTGTGATACCAAATTTATTCTACTGTATCTTAAGTGGCTAAATTGTACGGGAATAAATAATTATAAAAAGGAAGTGAGTACGTCTGGTGATATAAAGACAAATGTTGGACGAATTAACAATTAGAAAGAACATTTAAAGTGTTGCACAGAAATTTATTATTATTATTATTGTATCCTTTAATTCCTACAGGAACATAGGGCTTCAGCCGTGCGTCTCCATTGCGTTCTGTTCTCTGCTAGTGTCTTCACCTGGCTCCAAGTTTGCCCACACGTTTTCATCTCCTCTTCACATGACCTCCTCCAAGTCACCCTCACACTGACGATCGACTCGCCGCTTCCCTTTCGGGTTCCAATTCAGTAATGGCTTGCCTAGTGATCTCACTTGATGGTTTCCTCAGAGTATGGCCAATCCATCTCCATTTCTTCCTGCCTATTTGTTTCACAATTGGTTCCTGATTGGTCCGCTCCCAGAGATCTCTGTTGCTGATCTTTTCTGGCCATCTGATCTTGAGTATTGAGCGAAGACAGCTGTTAATGAAGGTCTGTAGTTTGTTTGAGATGGTCTTTATGACGCGCTGGCCAAGTCTCTGATCCGTATAGTAGCACTGACTTCACATTGGAGTTGAAAATCCGGATTTTATTTTTGGTTCTGAGTTCTGTTGATCTCCACACAGACTTGAGAATAGTGAAAGCTTGTCTTGCTTTCCCTATCCTTGCTTTGATATCCTCGTCAGTTCCGTCCGCCTGTAGTTGAAACGATGCTTCCAAGGTAGGTAAAGGAGGTTGTTTCTTTCAGGTTCCTCCCATTTATGCTGATTGTTGTCAGTTGTTGTTGTTGCTGTTGATAGTGTTGCCCAGGAATTTTCATCACCTCTGTTTTATCTATGTTCACCTGAAGTCCTATCTTTGATGCTTCTTCTGCTAGCTTGTTGCTTTTCGCCTGCATATCTTCCAGTTTGTGGGAAATCAGATATATATCATCGGCGAAGTCCAGATCCTCCAAGTTTTTTGTGTGGGTCCATTTTATGCCTTTTTCCTCATTGCCCACTGTTTGTCGCATTATCCAGTCTACTGCAATCAAGAAAATCATTGGCGATAGTAGGCAGCCAGCTTGTCTTACTCCTGTCCTCACTTCGAAGGGTTCCGTAAGTTTCCCATTGTGGATTACTTGGCATGCAGCATTGTCGTATAGCTGTTGGATGAGATGTATTATTGTCGGTGGCACCCCGTAGTAGCGAAGTAGTTTCCAAATCACCTCTCGATCGACGCTGTCAAAGGCCTTTTCAGAGTCGATGAAGTTGAGATAGAGAGGTGACTGCCACTCTAAGCTTTGCTCAATGATGATCCGTAATGTTTTTTTGTTGCAAATAGGCGATCTGGTCAATGCATGACTTGTTCCTCCTGAATCCAGCCTGTTCCCGTCTAAGTTTTTCATCCAGGGCATGTTTGATTCTCTCCGGGATGATGCGGCTTAGCATTTTGCTTGGGATGGACAGGAGCATAATTCGGCGCCAGTTCTTGCATTGACTTAAGTCTCCTTTCTTTGGTAGTTTGAATAAGTACCCTTTCTTCCAATCCTCGGGTACCTTGTCCTCTTTCCACACCTTCACCAGTAGTGGCGTCATCAAGTTCGCTGTTGTCTCCGGGTCCGTTTTCAATGCTTCTGCTGGGATTCCATCTGGTCCTGCTGCTTTTCCAGCTTTTAGCATCTTGATTGCCTTCAGGACTTCTGATTTCGTCGGGGGGTTGGTGTTCACTGGTAGCTCTGTCTCCGTTGTTGGTATTGCTGGGCGCGTTGTAGGTGGTGGTCGATTTAGGAGTCTTTTGAAGTGTTCAGCCCAGTGTTTCCTTTGCTCCACTTCTTTGTTGAGTGACTTTCCATTGTCATCCTTCAACGGCTTGATTTGTGTCAAACGTTTGCCCAATAGGTACCTAGTAGTTTGGCAGAGTGTTGCGAGGTCTCCTTTGCCTGCAGCTTGTTCTGCCTCACTTGCCATGGTTTCATAGTACTTTCTTTCGTCTTCTCTGGCACTCTTCTTTACTCTTTTGTTCAGTGTCTTGTAGCTTGCATTCAACTCCTGTTTTTGTTGCTCATCGGTGCACTGGAGAATCTTTTGTTTCACCATCCCTCTCTCTTCTATTAGTTTCCAAGTGTCCGTAGTGAGCCATTGTTTGTCCTGTCCCTTCTTTCTGACTAGAACTTCCATGCAGGTTTGACTCCATACTGTCTTCAAGTTGTTCCAGTGCTTTCCGACGCTGACCTCTTCGCCAGTGTTGATTTGTGTCTCGGCTTTGTCCTTTATGCTTGCAGTGAAGATGTCCTTTGTGTCCTGGTCCTTCAGTTTTTGAGTGTTGAACTTGGCTTGTGGCCTATCTGCAGCTCCTGATTCTCTGAAAGCTTTTAATTTGATTTGGATTGTCCCTTGTACGAGATAGTGGTCTGAGCCAATGTCTGCTCCTCTTCTTACTTTTGTGTCCAGTAGGCTGCGCCTCCATTTCCTTGAGATTGAGATGAAGTCGATTTGGTTTTTGGTTCGCCCATCTGGTGACACCCATGTAGGCTTGTGGATATCCTTGTGTTTGTATACGCTGCCACCAATCACTAGTTCATTAAAGGTGCAGAAGTCGGCGAAGAGTTCTCCGTTTTCATTCATTTCTCCGAGAGCTTCTCTACCCATGATGAGTTCCCTTCCTGTGTTGTCTGATCCCAGTTTGGCGTTCATGTCTCCCATTAGTATTTTGATGTCACCAGCTGGAGTATTGTCTATTGTTGTCTGCAGTTTTCTGTAGAATTCTTCTTTCGTTTCGAGGTCTGCGTTGTTTGTCGGTGCATAGCATTGTATAATTGACACTTTCCTTCCTTTGGAGTTGAATCTGGCGGTTATTATCCTGGGCGAGATCGCCTCCCATTGCATCAGGGCCTTCGTTGCCGTTGGTGACATCATGATAGCCACGCCCTCGGTGTGCGAGTGGTTATCTTCTGGTTGACCGGAGTAGATCACTGACTCACCCGTTGACAATTTGGTGAGTCCATTCCCGTTCCATCTGCTTTCACATATTCCCAGTACTTGAATTTTGTATCTTTTCATTTCGTTTGCGATCTGGGCAGCTTTGCCAATCTCGTACATGGTGCGGACATTCCATGTCCCCACAAAGACTTTTTCTTTTGTCTCAAGGAGATACATCGTGCTGAAGTTTCTGTAGCAGGTTTGTTTACAGGGTGGGGTTGCTAGCCTCACGCCTGTTACACAGAAATAAATATACATAAGTTTGTAGAATCTGAGTAGGACTAAATTACACGAATTGTGGTCCTGCGGGTAGTCATGGAATAAACATTTCTAGCTGAATATTTTGCTGTAATAGCTTCAGCACTATAATGAATCCTTACCACCTGAAATAGATGTTTCGAATGATCATAGAAACCAATTGTGCTAAGATTTTAGCTATTATGTATTAGGTAAGATTGCATCTGCCAAGGGGTTATTAACTTAACTCCTCCTGACCGACATGGAGAATCTGCGAAATCCACCTCACAGGTGTCAAGGGATTCTTCGGCTAGTTTGCAAAGACTTGAGGTGTAGAGGTAGCGCTCAATGTTAAGGCGGAGAAATCCCTACTTGACTGGACCTCAGTGGATGTGTTGTCCGTCTAAATCGGTCTGTCAAAAGAAGGACAGACTGCGTTCCCCTTCGATGCAATTGTACAATCTACGCTTACACCCCAATAGACTGCAGTTCGGACCAAGTAAAGGATAGGTTCTATCAAAATCTGTCTAGTTTGTTGCTGACAGCAAAACGCTCAGATATAGTTGTTCTAGCAGGCGATTTCAGTGCTGATGTAAGGAAGTTGGACAAGTCCCAGTAGTATATTGACGGCACTTGTAGAGTTGCATACCGACGAACCAAATACAAAGAGATACATCACCTAGTCTGGTGAGCTCCATCATCAAATATGTCACAGCGATAAATTGTCGATGACTAGGGTCGGTAGAAGACTTCCGCTCCTTTTGGAACGATTGCATTGACTGTGATCGCCCTAGTCAGTGCACATGTATGCCTAAGTTTGAACGGGCAAAGAAAACAGCAACGAAGCCATTATGCCCCCAATGTGATTAGAACCCTATATCCTTATTAATGAAAGAAATAACTGAACGGGTATCTGTAACCGACAGCAAGACTCATTCTGAGGAAACTTAGCGTATTGTCCAACCAGCTGTGAAAGCAACAGTAAAGACTCCCGATGACCTGAGAACAAAGGTTAGTAAATGCTATCCGCTTTATCCGTACTGACAGACTCAAGATGATTATTTCGGATGGGCTCCGAACAATTTGAAGAGCGAAAGCTTCTCAAACACAATCTGACTAAAAGTCTCCGCAAGGACCACGAAGAGTGGTGCACGGCAAAAGCCAAAGCGATAAAAATGCTATCGGTGATAGGTATCGTTAGACGAGT